ACATCTTAGGAATATGTACAGTTATTGAACATCTTAATTTATGTGTGGTATATTGTTTGTACAAATTAGTTTGTGAATGGATATTTTTTTATGTTTTCATTGTTTATTCATAGTTTATGTTTAGTATATTAGAAGATTTTTTGTTGAACACAACACATATATCAACAATTATGATTTTTATTACACTTATATGCGTTGAAAATGTATATAATTCGAAGGTATATTTACAAAACCGAGTTGGGGTATATGTTGGGTATATCCGAGTATATCCGAAGTAACTTTTCTCTGGTTATCTGGTTATCTTGTGGGTATATCCGAGGTAACTTTTCTCTCTATCCGAAGTATCTTTTCTCTTTCTATGCTATACACTTTGTCACTGACTTTCTGCACCTGTTACACATTTTTAGTATATTTGAAGTATATTTTTGGTGTATGTCAAGTAATAATTGCAACATACGCTGAATATATACTAACATAAACTCAAAATATACTACCTGGCGGCTGCTTGAATTACAATGTCCAAGTGCGTGAATTAAGGATTAATAAATGAATCAGTTATTATTTTTCTTTTCTCTCTCTTAATTAAGTCCACAAAAAGGGGGATGAAAGTTAAACATATATGGTAACTGCTATTGATGCAATCTCATAAATAAATTAGTTTCGTTAGGCATAATTGAAAATACTATCACATGAAAGGTAAATTTGAAAATATTTATATATCTTATAGGAGGACTAAAAATTTCCCTTTTTTATACACGAATATATAGACATGTAGTTGAAATGCTTATTTCTATTTGCATAAAACTCTTTTTGAGTTTCGAAATTCCCAAATTTGCTACGTGTCATTTGTGAGCTTGGCTCTTTTGCTAAACTAGTCGAGTTCGAACTCGTTTAGTCAATGAGTTGAGCTCGACTCGACTGGTTATTCTTGATAAGTAGGGTTTTTTTTAACATAATTTATCGAACTTCTATCATGTATTTCGTTTGTTAAAGTTTGAATTCGTTATCAGATCAGTAACTTAACTACTCGAGCACGGTCGGTTCAACTAAAGCTCAAGCATGTGCTTGAGTATTAAGAACTCGAGTTCAACTCGTCTCGAATTATTTACAGCTGGAGAGGAAAATAGATTCATCTACTCCTCGTGAAATCCCAATCTTACCCCCATAAATACCCAAAGAACTAAGATTGCAAAATCATTTTTCAATAACTCCAAGGGCAAAAAGGACAATTCAACTCCTCAAATAAGCCAAATTTTGAATGCCACAAATTTTCCCATAATCCCTCCTCTCTCTTCCTCACTCTCACTTCACACTATACAATCACTCACTCGGAAAGCCCTAATTTAGAAAATCAAGAAAATAAATTCACAATCCACATCAAACCATGAAGGCCTCCATCAAATTCCGCGACGATCAGAAGCCATTGCTGCGAGCTAAGGTCCCACTCAACATCCTCAACCTCCCTTTTCAGGCGGGGTCGTAGCCGGCGACTCCAAGGAGCTCTCCCTAAACCTCGGCACCTTCCTCGATTCCGGGCCGTCGCTCCGATTCTCGTACTGCCTGAATGATTCCAAGAACCCTTTTGGCTTCGTCTTCAAGACTGGCGTCAGGCACTTTGGGTCGCCGGCGAACAGTCCCGTGATGATGAGCGCCGAGTTCAACCTCGTCGGCGGCCGGAATCATAGTTTCTTCATCCACTTCAAACCCAATGTCGGAGACTTCTCCTTGAAGAAATCCCACTCCTCCGACCTTGTCAAGTGCCTCGGGGAGAAGCCGAGCGGCGGCGGCGGTCGAGTCGAAGGCGGCGGCGGGGTGGTGGTGGGCGAGCTGCTGAAGGGGACGGAGCTAGGCGCAAGGATCCGCGTGCCCTTGCGGGATCTCGCCGTGGTGAATTTCCGGTGGGGGCTTAGGGATCCACCTCGGGCGGATGAGATGGACACGGTGGTTGTGGGGAGGAAGGGCAGCGGTGAGTGGCCGGGCGGCTTGGTTAGAATGCCGCTACTGGTGATGAACAATATTGGAATCGAACATGTGGTGAGATCCAAGGAGTCAAAGGTGGGGCCCGGTGATAGGCCCGAAAAGCTGCTGACCGAGGCGTATTTGGATGTGAAGAAGCAACTGGAGGCGATTCATGCTGAGAATGGGTTGTTGGGCAAGGCTCTGAGAGAATTGAAGTCGGATATGGCTGCCGGGAAAATGGACTTCTTGCAGGAGAGTCGCCGGGGTAGGTATTCTGGTGGTGAGGCTGACCGGAGGGTCACTGGGGATAAGAAATCGTTGGAAGTGAAAGGCTTTGGTGGCCAAAACGGGTCGAAGCGTTTGTGATTCATGTGAATTTGTTTATATTTGTTGCGCTTAATTCGTTCAAACGAGTTAAAACGAGTGAAATGTATCTAGTTTTACTTGATGTTGGCTCATCAATTTTGAAGGTTTTTTTTTTTTTTTTTTTTTTTTTTTTTTTTTTTTAGTTTTTTTTTTTTTTTTTTTTTTTGTCTTTTTGTGAAGAGAGAATAATTGGTTTAATGGTTGAGTCCGGAGTTAAATGTTAACTAAACATCATCCAAGGGCTGTGATTAAATCACAGCAGGTGCTGTGTTAAATCACACAACAGGCACCTCCAAATCTTAATGGTTATGGACCTATGATACTTGGTCCTGTTGTGGGGGAGAAGTATTATAGTTGTAAAAATTGGTGCATCTATGGAATAAAGTTGATCGTTTTTTCATTCCATGCATATCTAAGAAGGTATTTTATTGAATTTTCATGTGAACAACTTGAAACCGAATTTCTACAAATGAAAACCAACAAAGTCGAGCTTCTAAGTTCTAACAACGTTGAGTTCTAGATTGAAACCGACAATTGCTAGTTTTTTCCAACAACATCAAGTTCTTGATCTTCATTTTAGATTAAAACCAATAACATGTAACTAGTGAAAGAACATTCGTCGACAAACTAAAAAAAAAAAAAAACAAAAAACAAAAAACTCTAATCCAACCATGTGGAGAAATCAGTGAATGAAGCCAAATTGGAATCACCATTTTGTTCATCCAACATGTTAGAACCACTAAACTCAACATGATGAGGAGGCTCATGACTTTGGGACTGGGCAACAAGAGTAGCAATTTGTGCTTGAATCCTAGCCAACTGCTCTTCTAAATCCTGAATCTGTTGTTGCAAAATACTTATAACCCCAACACACCCGAACACCGGGTCGTTTATCCTCCAATACGCCTCGTACCACAATGACTCGGCCGCTTGCGCTCGGCAATTCACCGGCAAATCCTATTAGTTTTCAAACAAAACATCAATGACTCGAAAGTTTAGACTCGAATATTGGACAATGCAATGAAGAAGAAAAAATGCATATAAATAGTCGTGTCGTTTTGCATTGTTTTATTAACCTGAAGCAACTTGGCAACATTGCTCGCCCCATAAATCTTGTGAACGAAAGCGAATCGTGTGGGATTGTTGGAAGGGAAGTAAGGAGAGAAGATGCAGTCGGAGGGGCATCGCCTTCGCAAATGCTTGCATGCTGCACAACGGCTCGAATTCATCAACCTTTTGCACTTGCACCACCAAAGCATATGCTTATCAAAATCTAGTTTTGAATCTAATGTGATCAAACAAGAATCCAACAATAGATTCTTTGATGGATATAGGGACTATTTATAGACATGTTTTTTCTAACAACTATAAAATTTTGAATTTCAAGAATCTTATGGAAAGCTCTCAATTTCCAATACTTACTATGATAAGTTCCTTGAAATTCGCCAATCATCATTAATATCCTGAAATTATCTATTCTACTGCCTTTCAGAAAAGAAAGTGAAGAAAAGGCAAGCAAACCATGCAATTAGTGAGAGCTGACTTTCCAGCGTTAGGAGCCCCAATAATACCAACAGACAATGACTTCTGATCCTCCTCCGTCACCTCCCTCTCCTCTGCATCCTCATTATCATCTTCATCTAAAGCCGCTTCTAACAAGGCCCTGGCGAGGTTTCCAGTCTTCCTTTTCTTCTCCTCTTCTCTCTCCAAAATTCTCGAATGCGAAACATCTTCCCCGAACACATTGCTTTTCACTCTGTTCCTGTACTTCTCGTCCCACATCTGCTTCTCGCCATCATCTCCGCAGTCTGGATTGAGATTCAAATCAGCAAAATGGGAGCTGTCGAATACAGCGTCCTGCGCGGTGGCGTACTCGTCAGGGTTTGGCGGCGCGGGGTCATTGTCATGCTGAGGCTGGGCTGAGTAGAAACGGTGGAATAAAGCAGAAATGTTCAAATCCAAACACTTTTGGCTATTTCAAATCCCAACTGCTTGCAATACAAAAGTAGAGTTCCCCGTGTGCTTAGCTACACAGACCACGAATACAAGGCTAAGTTCAGGGAAAACTCAACGACCACCACCTATTAATGCAAATGAAATGAATTTTTTTTTTCTTAAAAAAAGGAAATTTCCATAAAATACTAACCCAGATCCAGATCGTCTTTGCTGATGTCTACAAAGTTCTTCTCCTTGTATGCTTTCAGATTTTGGATGGCAACCTCATCTATTGGATCCACTAAAAACAGGACCTGCATCCAAAAGGTATAGAATTACAGTTGGCAATCAATCAAACTATTAAGTAACTAGACCAATGAGCACTCCAATCTAAGGCAAAAGAAGATAGAGAGTACATTTACCTCAGTATTCTTTTCAACAAGTTTCTCCAAGAAGGGTGTATTCCTTGCACTAGCAACACTGTCCGCAACAATGAAGTAAATATCTTTCTGATCAGGTTTCATGTTCTCCACATACTCATCCAAGCTGATCATATCTTCCTCGCTTTGGGATGAGAAAAATCTCAGCAACGGAGCAACGCGCTTGTGGTTCTCACGGTCTTCAATGCAACCTAACTTCAAATGTTTCCCAAAGTTCTCCCAGAACTTCACATAATCCTGTGCACAGAACACTAGATTAGTATAGCAGACCAAGTTGTCAGAGAGAATCTAGCAATAACCAGACAAGACATTTTGTGAGTTCCCAGGTTTAATGAAATGCTCTTAGATTATTCTCTCAAAAGCATCAAAGTTCAACCTAGTTATACTAGTAGGAGGCTTTAGAAGGGAAAAGAATTTATATACATCTCTATCATCACTCATGGTTATGCCCAGAATCATGTCAAAGGCCTTGAGCACCAAACGTTTCCTCATTATGCAGACCTAAAGCCAGGAGAAAAGAAGTTATCAGATTCTTGCATAATCGAGAAGTATATTACACCATTGTGCAGCAATCCATAAAACGTAGTCACTTACAATACGACTTTCTTGAAGAATTTCACGGGAGACATTCAATGGAAGATAATTCGAGTCAACAACACCTTTAATGAAGCTCAAGTACCGTGGGAACTAATAATCACAGAAGAAAATGATTAAATACTGTAGCAATTCCATTAAATAAGCCTAACATAATAAGAACTGTATACAAATCTATTCTCACCAATTCACCATCAAAGTTATCAGAAATGAATACACGCTTGACATAGAGCCTTATATTCTTTGTCTTGGGATTGACAATGTCATCCTTCCCTGTGGGTGCCATTGATGGCACATATAAAACAGACCTAAACTCTACTTCACCCTGCAACAAGCAAGTAAATGCTTTAGCAAATTACCCAGCTCGAATGATTAAACCTTTTGCTTGAGGGTAAGTAGTAGTCCAGAACTCCTTGAGGCAAATTGACACTGTAAATAATATGTAGGATGTTGAACAATAACAGTCACAGATCAACAGTTAAGGAACTCATGTTTATAGGAATCTGTACAACCTCCGTTGTAAAGTGTGATGAGGCAAGAGGTTCCAAGTACTCATTAAATGTTTTCTCGTAGAACTCATTGTATTCTTCTGTAGTGACTTCTTTGGGATTACGGAGCTGCATCAAACAGACAACTATCAGTCTTCAAAGGAATCTTGAGTCCTGACAGAGTAAGATAACAGTGACATCTCATAGGCTCACCCATATTGGCTGGGTCTTGTTTGTAAGCTCCCAATCCCAGTATCTTTCAACAACTTTCTTGGTCTTCTTCTTTTTCTGTTATGTGGATATCAGAACCATTATGCTTCCAAGTACATTGCAACGCAAAGGTTTTTAAGTAAACATATGACCATAATTTAATTAAGTTTGCATTACAATATACCTCAGTTTGCCTCTCTTCTGCATCCTTATTGGCTTCAGCAGGATCCTCATCAACCTCTATCTGCAAAAGAGACAATCTATCACGTACCAAATATATAGAGCTTGCTTGTTTATAAATTTTTCCCAAAAAACACCAATCTAAAGTCAATTTAACAACTTTAACTCAACCCCCTATCCTCAATATTTTCAATATAATTAAATAATATCAATCAATCATCCTTACAAATCAAATCATCTTTAATTCACTATTCATCCACTCACATAACCTATCACTTCCAATCACTTTTCTCCTACTTTTACATCAAATCAACCTTAATCATAATATTTTAACTATTATTTTAATATAAATTCAAAATCTCACTCAACCAACTATTTAAAAATTAACTATGGTTAACCAAAAAAAATCTATAAACAAGCATGTCGTGTTTCATATTTTCCCAAGAACAAACTAGCACCACGAGTTTCACTCATAGGCTCCGTTTGGAAAACAGCGTTTTGAACTAAAAAAATAGCTTTTTGAACATTTAAGCTTGTTTGACTTTTTCAATCAGCTGAAAATGTTGTTTGGTAAGTTAGCATTTTCAATCAGCTTTTTGCTCCCAAACCGCCAAATACAATACGATACTATTAGGAGCTTTTCTAATTAGATTTTTGTATTCTTGCATGACAGTGAGAGAGTTTGTTGAGATTGGATGAATTGTTTGCATTTTTTTTTTTCGTCCTGGTGAAGTTAGTGGTGAAATGGGCCCTCATCTTACAAAAATAATATTTCTCAAAGCAATGGGGCCTATTATAATTTGAATACATAAATTTACTCAAGTGGTATTACTCATTTTTAAAGGGCAATGCTATATGTACACCCCCCTTTAATAAATTACACAAAGAAAAGTGCTATATGTACACCCCTTTTTTACACTTGAGGGGGTGTACATATAGACACCCCCTTTTTAAAATGTGTAATAGTATTAAAAAATTAAAAGCTTTTGAGTTCTGAGATTACATGAAGAAAAAGTACTTAAGATATCGTTTTATTTCTTAGAATTAATTTTATATGTTCAACTAATTAAAAATAGCTAATTTTACCAAACGCTTTTTCATAAACCGCTAACACTATCCGCTGGTCAAAACAGCTAATACAATCCGTTGGTCAAAGCAGCTAATACAATCAGCTAACAACTAACAGCTAACAGCGGTTAGCTAACCGCTGATTACCAAACAAGCCCATAGTTTCCTAGGAGTGAACTGGTACCACGAGTTTCACACATAAAGAACAAGCAATCGTTGTAACGCCTATATACATCACTCAACATCATAAATGTTGCCATTTGATACCCTATGGTAAAGCTATTAGCAGAACACTAAAAGTATGATAGATAAAATACTGATAAGTGTTTCTCTAATAGATGGTCGACCTAGCAGTTCAAGGCGATTACTGTTCGTGCACCATGTTACCAGGCATGTGCATTAAATGAATGTTAATGGAAGTGCTTATTTCCTGCCCTATGCCTTATAATGCTTTTCACATCACTATATGCTTGCGACTCAAAACAGTTGGTATCTAAAACAATTCATAAAAACAAAGAAGCAACAGTATATCTATATCTGCATCTATCTGAATATGTTTCTGACAGATTCTCCTTGCAGGGAGCACAATAGAACAAAATGAAGAACCGTATGGAGGCACCAATACAGAAGTAGATTAAATATATTTTGCAGCACCAACCTCTTTAGCGAATCCCTTCTCTTGCCATGTATAAATTGGGAACGAAACAAACAACGAATAATTTTTCACAAGCTTCTGGATTCTTTCCGGATGGGCGAAACCTTTGTCGTCATGCTGATACATACACAAAAAGTAACACAAGTTAAAAAGATCAGCAAAGTTGCGGCAGCAGAAGAAGAAGAAGACAACTTGTACTAATATGTACCAACCTTAAGATAAACTGATAAAGAGTGAGGCGGGATCCCCTTGGAATAAGCTTGGCAGGGTCAGTCTCTTCTTGGATAGTATAGGAACTAGAGTTTGCTTCACCTTCCCATACATATTGCTTATCAGATTTGGGGCTCTTTGTCGAGACCTCAACCTTTTATGGCAAAGGACATCAAGGCAAACACGTCAACAACAAAAAAACAACTAAAAAGATAAGAAGTGGTAAGCTTCAGTTTCCCAATAAACTTATGTAATTGTAATAATTCCCTCATCTTTATCAGACTGGATGCGAATGTCAAGATCAACTGCATCCTTCAGAAGGTTGAGGTCAGTAACGCTAAGGAACCGCAGCTTGTCCAAGGCATCACTTGCATTGCTGCGGAACAAACCAAGGATTCAGGAATATAAAGTGTTAAGTATGTAGCACATATGAAATAGATTGAAGTAATGCTCCACGGGATAGCAAGATCTGTCCTATAAATTCCATGGTCATAAGTTACAGGTCATCCATCTTAAATAAAATGATGCTGCAGCTCACCAATCTCCCAATATAATACGTGGCAATGAGATCAATAGACTTGCCTGGTAAGCTCTTGAAGAAACACATCCTTGTTGCTATATAAGCAATTCACAATAAGGTCCATGAGGCGACTAACCTGAAATAAACACATAATATGATCACAATATCATTACAGATTATACATGAGTGTGGCTACGAATAGAGTGTTCTTCAACTCAAATTCACCTCAGCTTGGTACTCAAATTTCTCTGCTGGTGGTTCGGTTGCGTCCGATGCAGCAGATGTTGATTCATAATGTCGGCCCACAAAAGGCTCATTTTTCAGGTTGGATTGGCTAGCTTCCATCAACGCAAGAGCTACTACCAGTGGTTAACAGAGAACCATCTCTTTGTTGCATCCTTCTCTCCCTATTAGTCAGAAGACAGATGAGAAGTCATCCATCACAAATATATGAACCTTGATCTAGCTATTAATAACGAAAAACAGCAAAAAAAGCTTGTTGATTGAATCTTCTAATAATAAAAAAAAAACCATAAATTTTCAATTAACCACATAAAGCAGGCACAAAAGACGACGAGAGAGGTCGGTATCGAGTGGCGGCCTTGGTGTTGCGCAGGACAGAGGAGACGGAGCGACTCGATAGCCTGTGCATTTTCGCTAGTGGCGTGTAGAGAGAGAGAGAGTACATGAGAGAAGAAGAAAATCAGTGGGTAATTGGCGAGGTTTCTAGCTGGTGTGCAGTATAGGGTAAATGCAGTTGCACTATGGTGTGCCTTGGCACACCATGCTAGGTGTGCCAGGCTTGATTCACACGCGCCAAACAAGTAAGAGAAAAGTGTTGGAGTTGGTTTTT